AAGTGTTGTTACCGGTGAGGGATTTATCTCATCACGCATGATTTTCCTTCAGGTTTTTAGTGGAAGCTAGATAAAAATAAACATTGTTGAGAAATATGATGGTTTTTGCCCGCTCATTTATGTTGGAAGTTACTTGTGTTTATGAGAACCATCAGATTTGTTAGCTATGCAATTTGGATTGAAGATAGTAGATTAAGTCTGATATGAGAACATGGCCTGATGGGAATGTAATTGAGGTGATGGATTCTCCTTTTGGAAGTGGATTGAGGCAAATTTCTTGTAGAAGAGAATTTTGTGTGCTTGCTGCAGATTGAGAAATATGAGGTGATTGAAATGACATGATCTCCAGACAAAAATAATTCTGTGATATGATGATTTTGTCAACTATGTGAGGGAACATGCATGCCAGTGTGGTTAATGCACCCCTGAAACCATCAGATAAAAAGAATGGGAGAACATCCACGTATGAGTTTGAGGTCAGTGCTGAGAATAGACCATGATGGACAATCACCGAAGCTATTGACAAATTTGTTCATGGCAAAAGAAAAATAAAATAAAGTGTTGAAAAATATGATGGTTTTTGCCCGCTCATTTATGTTGGAAGTTACTCGTGTTTATGAGAACCATCAGATTTGTTAGCTATGCAATTTGGATTGAAGATAGGAGATTAAGTCTGATATGAGAACATGGCCTGATGGGAATGTAATTGAGGTGATGGATTCTCCTTTTGGAAGTGGATTGAGGCAAATTTCTTGTAGAAGAGAATTTTGTGTGCTTGCTGCAGATTGAGAAATATGAGGTGATTGAAATGACATGATCTCCAGACAAAAATAATTCTGTGATATGATGATTTTGTCAACTATGTGAGGGAACATGCATGCCAGTGTGGTTAATGCACCCCTGAAACCATCAGATAAAAAGAATGGGAGAACATCCACGTATGAGTTTGAGGTCAGTGCTGAGAATAGACCATGATGGACAATCACCGAAGCTATTGACAAATTTGTTCATGGCAAAAGAAAAATAAAATAAATATAAGGATAATAAATTAAAAAATAAAAAGTGAAACCAATTTGGAGCTGGGTTCTTGTAAGAGTTATGGATCAAGCTTTCTATGAGATTTAGTTTCTGTTGTTCACTTCAGTATTTGTAGTTTGTAGTCATAGGCGCATCATGCAAGTTATTCCTTCTTTAGATTTGGGATGTCCTTGTGATATTATTGCATGTAGCCGTATTGAGTGGCTTAAGTTATAAAGCTGGAAACAACTGAACTTTGATATGATATCTGGCTACTGTCTTGAATGTAAGATATAAAGCCCATGTTTGAGTCCCATTTTTCCATAAGTTCATTATCTACCATGCATTATCCCTATAACTTTGCATGTAAATCCAAAATGCTTCCCTACCTTTTAACCACATATTCTTCAAAAAAATCACTTTTTTCAAAATTTATTTTTGAAAAATGGGGCTCAAACAGGGACAAATTTTCATTGCCCGACTTAAACGTGTTTACAGTTTTTCTTGGTGACATGGTATCCTTATCAGTGTTTGATAACTAACTGCCATCCCTTTTGCTCTGCCCTCTCAAATGCTAAAAATCCAGCTATCATTGTTGGAGCTGGAATCTTTGAGCGGAAGGACAAGGATGCAATTTTCTCAACAGTTGATGCCATTTCCAAAAATGCAAATGCTGTTAGGCCTGATTGGAACGGGCTTAATGTGTTGCTACTTAATGCTGCACAAGCTGCGGCTCTGGACCTTGGACTTGTACCAGAATCTGACGGAAGCATTGAATCTGCCAAATTTCTCTATTTGATGGGTGCTGATGATGTGAACTTGGAGAAAGTTTTGGATGATGCCTTTGTCGTTTACGAAGGTCACCATGGTGATCGGGGTGTGTATCGTGCCAATATAATTCTTCCTTCATCAGCTTTCTCTAAGAAAGAAGGGACCTTTGCAAATACAGAAGGATGTGCTCAAACAACTGTACTAGCAGTCCCCACAGTGGGTGATGCCAGGGATG